AGCCGTGAATCACACTTTCTTACTGTGAACCTCGGAGCAGCGAGTTGTATTTGGCGTGACGGCAAATCACGCACACTCTTAATCTCGATCTCTCATGTCTGGACGACAAGGCGGAAAACTCAAGCCATTAAAGGTGTGGATGGCAGTCTGGGCCATGCAGGCCACTGAGTGTTCTCTCAGGCTCCGAAGAAGGACAAGAAGGAGGAAGACGAGGAGGACGTTGCCCGCAAGGCCAAAGCCAAGGCTGACGCGGATGCCCTCAAGGCCGCCCGCGACAAGGGTGAGTGGCCGAAGAAATCCCCAAGCCCCACCGCTGACTGCTTTTGCCAGCATTAAAGGGAGGACCTATGGGCGGCGCCGGGATCAAGAAGTAAGTGCTCGTCACTGTGGTCGGCAACACTGACGGCGGTCTTGTACAAAGGTCGGGCAAGAAGTAGGATGTATGTAGCGTAGATGATTGGGTGCAGGTGCAGGACAAGTTGAAGACAGACGTGTTTTTAAATTTGTGTATTGATTCCCGAATCCATCTCACTCCGTCCACCACCATCTTTCTGCTCGCTCACTCCGAGCCATCTTTTGTTCAATCTCCCATGTTGCAGGGCCAGCCCCAGCAGCAGCCGCTGAACCTTGGCTCCCAGCCCCAGCAACCAGCCCAGATACCGCCTCCCCCGTTCCAGAGCGGTCAGGACTGGAACCTTTCGAGTGTCCTCCACTACCTACAGACCGAATGGCGCAAGTACGAACGCGACAGGAATGAGTGGGAAATCGAGCGTGCTGAAATGCGGGTGTGTTGACGCCCTGCCTGGCGACGCGTGCCGCCTCTGAATTCAACTATAGGCTCGGATTGCTCTGCTCGAGGGCGAACGCCGTTCCTTCGAGAATGTAAAACTGGACCTCATGCGTCGGATAAAAATGCTCGAGTATGCTTTACGCATGGAGCGGTGTGTCTTGCTGGCTCTCCGGGAATGCTTGATTTCTTGACGTGTCTTGTGGCCCAGTTCAAAACAGCTCACCCAGCCCGCGCCTGCCTCCCAATCGGTCCCTCCTGCAAAACTAGCCGCGATTCAGGCCCTCACATCTTCCTCGTCTCAGAAAGACGACGTCCAAAGCCACAAGGAAGAAAGTAGTGGCAGCTCTCCACGCAGCGAGGGTACGTGCCACCATGCACTACGCTACGCAACCTTGACCAGTTTGGCGCCAGATTCTCCGCTCCCAGATGCTCGTGTCAATGGCGCCGCGTCTATAGGCCCCACCGGAAGACCAAACTCGTGGGGCTGGACCAACGGTCCGTCGACCGGAACAGTCGCGGGGCTAGGAAAGCCTCCACCAGGGCGCGATCCCAAGAGTAGAGCTCGCAGTCGTGACTACCTCAAGCAGTAGGCGCTTTCGTCGCAACGTGTGCAGCACAACCTTACCCACTTTACCCAGATGTCTTCAGGAAATTTCATATCTCACATCCCCACAAGCCATGAATCCATTACCCAACCGACCCTTACTCAATAATGGCAGTATTGCACTCACGCTTCCCAACGCACCACCTTTCGAGCAAATGGCTTTCAATGGAAGACCGCGGAAATTGTTGCCCGAGTCGGGCAAAGATTTTCCAATGCTCAACGGTAACATTAACTTGATGTCCGGTCCTTCCTCCGCCCCCGCTGCCACGCAAGGGTCGCACATACCTAATCTTGAACGACCCAACCCTCTTGGCTCGGGTATGCTGCAAATGCAACAACAGCACATGCCTCAGCAACAACAACAGTCCTCCCCAAACATGATGCAACAGAATGTCGTTCCCTCACAATTACCGCCGCCGTCCAATACAACGAATGAGAGGGACAGGGAGGTTGATTCCGAGCCACGCCAGCTGACCGCGATCTTCCGGCCGGATGACGCGGGTGAATGGAAGGAGAAGCTACGGCTGTCACATGAGGCTGAGCAAGCCCGTTTCGCACGAGAAAACCAGCAGGGATGGGACAGGCGGCCTGAAGACGATGAGGGCAAGGAGGATGAGGGCGAAGTGGACGACGATGAATCGTCTGTGGTCAGTGATGGCGAGGGAAATAAGGTTTGGAAACCCAAACGGACACTGCGAAAGTGCGTAGGATATTCCTTTCGGGGTCTGGATTCTCAACCTTCTCATCAGCCATCTGGACGCCGTCCGCGCACTTGCATTCCACCCTCACGAGCTTTCTCTCGCGACCGGTGGGGACGATTGTACAGTGAAAATATGGAGAATGGATGTCTCGGGCCTCGCCTCCTCCGCGTATGTCGCCAAATATCTTGTCGCTGCCTTCTAATTCGTTCCAGTTCGAGACCAACCACTGAGATCGAGCCGCAACTGACTCTCCGCGGTCACTCTGCCGCGATCACGAGACTGATACATGCACCTTCAAAGCAACTTTTGTACTCGGCGTCACTTGACTCGTCCATCCGGGTATGGGCGCTTCCTTCTCCGTCTCATACGACATACGCGCCGTATGACGAGACACGAGCACGTGGTGAGCTCATTGGGCACACTGACGCTGTGTGGGATCTTGCTCTAGTACGGGATGAGAGCACGCTGATTAGCTGTGGCGCCGAGGGCACAGTAAAGGTCTGGGATGTCAGTGGACCCTCGGGAGGGGGGTCCCTCAAACTTACATGGGCTTGGTCGGGGCTTGAGAACGCCGACGAGCTCCAGGAGGACATGGACGCCCCTGGTGCAACTGCCGTCGAGGCGCTCAAGGTCGATCTGAAAAAGGTGGCAGTCGCCTACCAAAACGCCGTTGTCAAGATATTCGACATTGAGAATGGCAAGGAACTGTCGAGGTTGCCGACAGATATCAGCTATGGTGGGTCAAAATACGCCATTCTCGGTCTCGTTGATTTGACTTGACCTCTTGCACCAGACGGCACGCCAGCTACCCAGATAAACCGAATAGTCTCGCATCCGACCATGTCTCTGCTTGTCACTGCACACGAAGACAAATATATCCGGATATTCGACATCTTGACAGGTTGGTTTTTTCCAGACAACTACAGCCCTGGTACTGAGTGATGTACAGGGCAATGCACACATTCCATGTTGGCTCACCTCGATGGTGTTACATCGCTGTCCATCGACCCCGCTGGCTTTTCTCTCGTTTCTGGGAGCCACGACTGCTCTGTGCGCTTCTGGGATCTGCTTGGCTCGCGTGCGTGCGTGCAGGAGGTGACGACGCACCGTGAAAAGGCACGCGAGGGCGTGCTGGACACCGAATTCCATCCTTCACTGCCGTTTATGGCCAGTGCGGGTGCGGATGGCGTCGTGAAGCTCTACGCCTCGTCGTAGCCTCCTTTTTTTTCGAACATTTACCTTAGTAGAACGGAAATATTCTTGTACATACGTCTGTTATGAAACATTTCATGCCACGGCAACAAGAAGAAAGGCTTAGCGCTACAGCTACAGGAGAGGCTACTTATACAGCGGGTGTTGCAAGAAACTCATAAATACTGGTCCGTGAGATTTATATTTCTGAACTGGATGAGTTTGGGATCGCAAAGAACCGAGAAGAGAGACGTACGTATATGCATCCCTTGCCGAGCGGCCAAGATTTCTGCTCCGAGTCCCTTCTCTTCCACAAGAGCCTTTATTTGCTCGAGGATGAGGGTCTGGTTTGGGCGGTCTGGGGCGCCATCGAGCGTGTCTTTGCAATGTATTACAAACACTCGCAGGCCAGCCAAGGCACCGCGCACGTCAATGGGAGGCGGCGGAGCTGGATTCAGCCGCTGCTTCTTACGAACAGGCCGCGTAGGGGAACTTTGCGCGGCATTGCGGACCTTGACCACCTCGGTTGCCAGAGCTTCTAGCTCTTTGACGAGATATTCGGGCTTTAGGTGGCCGTACAACGCGTCATCGCTCCTAGTCGAGGGCCAGGAACATTCGATAAATATGGTGGCAAGCGACGTGGGGATCTTTGGAGCTGCGGCCCGCCAGACGTGGATGGTTCGTGGGGCGAGTGATAGCGCGTCGGGCTCAAGGTCGCCGAAAAAGAGGAATTCGTGGCCTGTGGGGTCGTAGCGGATGAAAAATGCAGCCGAGTCGTAATTCCCTCGGTCGTTGTGACCGTGGCTGACTGGGAAACCACGGACAGAAACGTTGGGAATGAGCGTGTCGTACGTGTCGTTCATTGCGAGGCTTTCCAAAAGATGAGATGGATAGAGTGGGGCTTGGAGGACTTACGCGGTATACAAGAGCTTATGCTCGTCATCTTCCTCGTCCCAAGAAGCCAAGTTTGGCCATATGCGGTCTGAAAACACGCTCTCCAAGTCCTCCAACGTTTGACGCGCGGAATGGATGCGTTTACGGGGGCCAGTTAACGAGCCAGCGGATATAACCAGACTCTGGATGTGATCGAGGTGGGCATGCGTGATAAGGAAACATCTGCGTCCATGCTTAGTCCAAGAAGTGCGTCCAGACAGCGCACGCACCGCACGAATGAATAGATCTCCGAGGCCGAGTATCTTTTGGTCTCGTCGAAGATATGGGGGTCGTGTCGGAGGAGTTTCTGAAGAGCGCCCTGGCCTGAACCGGCCTCCAACGCAATAACGCCATCTTCCCAAGCAGCAGCCGAAGGTTTGAGCAGATATCTACGCGAAGTTAGTGTGCCACCGAAGGCGCGTAACAAAACCACGCACGCGCTCAAATTTGTCTCATCAGGACCGCCCCCGTCCCCTACACAAACCAAGTCGAAGCCCACGCTACTCTCGACGCCGTGGGACATATTGGGCGACTGCCAGCGCCAGGGCTCGTTTATCAACCTGGACTTGAAACAAGGTCAATTGATTGACCTGCCAGTCGCGAACAATGCGCGCTGGCGGCTTGCCTGCAAACAGAATAAGCACAAAACTGCCTCTATGACTCCACTCGACTAATTAACTCACTGCGGTTGCTCTGCGGTGTACCTGAGCACTGTAACAGAAAATAAATGCATCAGCGGCGCTTAATGAACAAATGGAGAGCTGCAAAAAAGCGAGGATTGAGTTCCTGCTGGGGGTCGATCCCAGGACCGCACGATAACGCGAGACAATTGCAATCGTGCACTCTACCACTGAGTTACAGAAACCTAACACGAGAACGGCATGTGGAAAGAACCAGGTGTTATTTACCAGAGGGACTGACTTGTGGTACCGCAGGCGGGTCGATTCTCGTCCACTGCAGGAAGGAAGGTGACGATATCGGACACCAGATGGGTGTAGAGGAAGAGAGAGACCAAATGCGAACTAATGATGTAATTGCCATGATCGGGCACGCGTCTCGTTACACACCGTGAACGTCAACACTCAAGCACTCAATGCTCTCTCTAGACTCTACAACGCAGACCGCTGTATGAAAAGAGTGCAATACTGATTCAGACGCGTCAGAACTCGTCCATGCAAACCGGCTTGGACTTGTGGCTTATGCACCAGTTGAATTCACTCAAGGTCCCACTCATATCATGGTAAGTATTCTATTGTACAGTGCGTTTTCTAGCAATACTTAGCCTTCAAATCGTACGTGCTGCGATAGACTCACCTAAGCCTTGACATGGGGGCCCAGCTCTTTCATGATAGCTTCCTTGTCCGGATGCTCACTAACCAAGTGGAGCAAGTCGGACGTTGTCAGAAATTTATGGTCTTCCCAGTGGAATCCTGGGACGACCACTTCAGTGATCAAGCACCCCAAATTTCTCTTGTCCGCTTCTGTCGTCGCCTTGTCCAGGTCTTCGGCAAGCAGTTTGGACATCTTCCAAACGCCAGTGCCGACCAAAAGCATGCGGGTCTCGTTGTCCCCCGCTCCCATGACATGCTTCTCGATAGTGGGAGGGTTCCCTGGGGTTATGAGCGTGTATTCCGCCCTACCCGAGTGCAATACATGGTAAGTCTGTATATACTGAGCGTTGAACAGGATACAGAAACGAATGTGGGCTCACGACGGACTTGTTCATGTGGATGACTCCGCTTGGGCTATCATGGTCCAGCAGATAGTAGATCGAGGTTGCTAATGACCTCGAACCGCCCTCTGCTCCGAGTGTCAGTACACTCTTCAAATCAAGTTGATCCCACTCGCCTGCAAATGGACTGGACACCTCATTTACCTGGCGGTCAGTCTCGAGGAAATATCCTGGGCGCTATCGTTAACACAGATTGTCTTCGCTAGCAGGAACTGAACCAACCTCCTTCCGGATGCTTCAACAATCCAAGCTGCTTAACCAAGGGATTCAACGTGGGCGAGTCGACTGGCGCGGTCATTGTGCACAGGGTGAGGAAAGCCGCAGGATTTTGTCATTGATGTAATTGAAAAAAAGATATGCCGGCGATCAGTCCGTTGACGACATTTCTAAGCCGCCTCCGACGGAACCAACGAGGAATCAAAAGGCGATCTTATCCAAATCTCATTTAAAGACGTGTTCAAGTTAGATGCTGGTGTGCGCAGGCTCTAGAGCGGCTGCCGGACCTTGTAGCCTTTGAATTCTCAAAGGTCTTCAAACTGGTGATAGGGTTTGTCACACTTTGCACCGCTCCTCCTCTCGGATCGCCGACTTTTGTCGCGAGTAGAAATCTGTACAGTGCAGCATCAGTGCAGAACCAAACTGGCTGGTCAGCCGAGATCATGAACACCAACACCCAGGAACATCGTTTTACGCCAAGCCCAGAGGCAGTTCGAACGCGGTTATGGGTACCAGCTTCCACACACGCGCCACCGTCGGGCGTCGTCTCGATTTTCCACTCTTCCCTTCTTTTTTCGACCGACCTACCTTTGGCTACCAACGACCTCGGTAAGTACAACTTCTGAACGGAGAAGTATCAACATCAAGTCGGTTAGTGCCAGCCCCATGTGAAATAAGGTTTTGCAGCTCTGCCCTGCTCAGCTACGAACATGAGCCAAGCGCCGCCGTCCGAGCCTTGGCTTGAGCGTTCACGACTCGATGGCCAAATGCTGAATAGTTTCGTCTATGTACGTGGAACATTACTATTCTGACCTCAATTCATCGCATAGCAGGGTATTTTTGCCATCTTGAGCGTGCAAGCCGCTATTGCACTTCACGAAGGGAGGAAATCGGCTCGAGTCAAGCTCGACAGATGGGTAGCTCGAGGTCTCACGCTCTACATCGTCGTGACCTTCATACTCGGGAGTATTGGCTATGGGGCCAACGCGCGCTGTGAGTAATCTCGCCGAGCGTTCTATCCTACCTTCAACTGTATGCTAGACACCGAGGACATCTGGATCAATTTCCGCCACGGGGACTGGGACCCTGCCGACTTGATCACCAACGAATTTGCATACTGGTATAATCGACTGGCTATTGACTCGTACGAGTTTATCTCTCTTGCATATCCGCGTGCTAATGATTTGATAGAAATTATATCATGGTCCGCCTTGATTCCGTTTGAAAGTCCCGAATTAATACCTCCTAAAGGTCTGGATAATGGACCTCTTGCTGTTATATCGCTGCGCAGCCATATGGAGCTTCAACATCTTTGTAATGGGGTCGATGGGCTGCGCATATCTGGCCATCGTTGGTGCGTATTCAAATTACAAATTCACCAGAATCCCCGAGATTCACGTTTGAACGCAGGCCTGTCCATGGCCGAGATGCTGAAAATCACACAATTTTCTTTAAGAGCAATTTTCAGCTGGGCTTTTTGGCTCTCTCGTGCGCGTACAACTTGCTCTTCACGACGCTGGTCACCGCGCGGCTCCTCATAGCACGAAATCAAATCACTCTACTCCTCGGCGCCGGCCATGCCAAGCCCTATGCCTCTCTAACGGCTACGCTGGTCGAGTCCGCTTCGCTGTACTTTGTTTTCGACCTGCTGTTCGTTATCACCTTTGCATTGCACAGTAAAATTCAGAACCTCATTTTGCTTGAGAACTGTTTCATCCAGGTGAGTGGCTATCTCGGGAAGCTGTTATTTTCGCCTGATAAATTGGCAGGCTATTGCTCAATTACTGATTATCCTGCGAGTGGCCAAGGGGAAACAGCTAAATTCCACAATAATGAGCACTGCTTTGGAGTTTGCGCATAGCGCGCCTGGGACGGAGGGCACGCGACAGGGTGACCCGGTACCCGTCCCACTTTCTATCCGCACCACGGGCGGAAAATATCGGGGGTCGAGCTTTGGATCTGGCACGAACGTCGAGCCTGAGCTGCCTGTATGATTGGATATGTTTGCAATATGATTATTATGTAATTTGCTCAGTCCCTTCATTCGGCGATATGCCTCCGGTCGACATTTTGTCTCAAAACCAAAAGTCTGACGCGTCCAATTTTGCTTTTCATGTGCATTAATGAAGGGTAGACTTTTTGAAAGTTTCAAGAGCAAGTTTTCCGGCAGAGCCAGTTTTCCAACTGCTGCCAAAAAATTTGGGCCATGGCTGGGAAACGAGCGCGCTTATTATCCTCAAGCCCGCAACGAGGTTATCTGGCCGCACTACTTCCCTTTCACTATATCTGACTTTCCCTCAAGATTGTGCAGATTCTAGGGGTATTGTCCTATTGTTATCCAGGCTGAATTCATCACGAATAAGACGGATAGATCGCAGAGGAAACCCTACGTAAGGTAGCAATCGAAGAACCATCCCAGTATCCGGCCCTCGTCGGTTTGTATGTCCCAATCATAACCACGCTCACTGCTTTCCGCGACAAGTTCGTGGAACCTGACCTGCACGGTGGGTGCTTGACTGGTGGAATCCACGCGAAATGACCCCACCAGCTTCCGTTGTAAAACTTATCACCAACGCGGCGGCCATACGAAATTCAACTTCTGGTTCCCCCGCTCCGTGAATTATTCTTTCACTTTTTCTGCCCACAATATGTATATTGATAAATTGTAGGCTTATGATACACACTGGGATATCTCCCAGCCAACACATGCTCCCCAGCTCGTCTTCCTTGGCTTTCGCTTTGACACCGACGCTCCCCACTCCCACGAGTAGCGCTTCGATGCACTCACCAGCGCTACCAGAGGTAATACCCACACTTTATTTGATCTCCGTCTGACAGATTAAACGCTAAAGAGTAATCCTCCTTCGGCGTCTATCACTCCATCAGCGTCTGCGAATCCACCAATGTCCACAAGTACTGCTGCAGGCGGCTCTGCTCCTCCGCCGGCGGCAACAGCTCCCAAACCCAAAAAGAAGAAGAAGCAGAAGCAGAAGCCTGACTTGAGCGATTTCATTCAGGCTGACCTGCAGCGGCATCGCAATCGCAAGCCAGGTGCTGTTCAGGATGCTACTGCCGAGCCTCTCAAGACTTCACGAGATCCATCGGTCGCTGCCTCTGTCAGCATGGATATCTCGCCCATGGATTCACCTTCCATGTCTACCGTCGCTATAAAGAAAGAGAGCGAGCTGGAGCAGAAACTAGATGCCGTCCCACATAAACCGCGAGAGAGTGTCGATATGGATATTTCACCTCCACAGTCACCATCTGCAGTTGTCCACTCAGTTGAGGACGACGTGGTCATGGATGGAGACGTCGGTGTCCAGATACCTGTAAGCGCCCTGGTTTTGATTTACGAAAACTGACTGACGCCCGTAGCCTGCTGATGAATTGACTCCGGCGTTGAATCTGGAGGTTGATCGAGTCTTGCGAACATTGGCACATCCCGCACATCTACTTGTAGGGGCGCCTGATGAACCACCGGATGTTGTGATTCCAGATGTGGCTGACCGCGAGGAAGCGATACATCCGGAACCCAGTGCACCCGTCGAGATCCCCGTCGAACCGGCGCCTACTCCTATTGTCGCACCTTCATTGGATAGCGCTGCGTTGCAATCCATCCTCCAGACCATGGTGACCAACGCAAACCAACTGATTGCATCTTCATCCGTAAATTTGCTCTTTGCATTCGTCTCCATGCTCACAGTTCCTCATAGGGCGTCAATTCACCGGCGCCTCCAAGTGAAATACATGTCGAGCCTGAAGATGCTACCTCATCACGGAGTGCGTTGGACGATCCATGTGCATGTATCACTGAAGAGGGTCCCATCAGAGACCGGTATCGAACAAGCTACTGTCATTGCGCGCCACCGTGGTTTAGCCAGCGGAACCATTACGGTGGATTTCCTCATCAACCAGAA